TCAGCACCCTGCTTTCTGACAAGGCTCTGGCAGTGTCCAGGCTCCTTCACCGAGGAGGTGATAACACAGAAACAATGAGTATGATGCCCCCCTGGTTCCGGGAGCGCTAGGCCCCTTTCAGACAAGCCCACAGTGCAGATGCAGCGGCTCCTCCTCTGCTCCTGACCGCCTAAGTCGTGTGGGCACGAATGCAGACACGCTGGCAAAAATCAGGTGCTCATTCCACCTGTTGAAAATAGAGAGGGAACTTCGCCCCACTGCCCCCTTTCTTCCAGAGCTCCTTTCGCTGCTTTTTCCAAATATGTGTAAATCTTTATAATGGCGAAAAAGCCTCCCTCCAGTCTCAAAACTCCACCTGGGAACTGTGGTTTTGAAATGGAAACATCCCTGGAGATAACCCTAGCTCCCAGATCCCAAGAGGGGTTTAAGAGGTTAACTTCTACCTTTTTTTTAAATCCTCCTTTAAATAATTAAGACCAAACAGCATCAGAGATAAGGGTGCCCCAGGTCTCTGTTCCTTCGCAAGGCTGTGATCCTGTTAAAATTTCTACATAGGTGAGACCTTCACTAGTCCACTTTGGACTCCACGCATTTGGAGCCTGTGTTTCCGGGTGGCCATGTCAAGCCTTCGTTCTGATAAACTTGACATATTAATACTTACTCATATTTTCTGAATCTCATTATTTAGGGTTGACAAAGTAAACACAAGCTAATAGGAACACACAGAGAGAAACAATTCCAGAGGCAGGATATATAGACATGAACAGTGAGAATCATTCCAAGCAGGAATAAAGGATAATGGGTTTCAGCAGGGTTGGATACCATGATGCTGTATTTTACTAAAGGCTAATAAGTTGCTAAATTAAAGGTTCACTGAAAATAGACAACTTGATTCTCATCTCCATCCTACTGTCTTCAGACTAGGAAGCTGGAAGATGCTCAGCCAGCCACAGGTCTCTACCTGGCCACCCTGGGAGGTCTCTACCTGGCCACATGGAGGAAGTCTCTACTCTGGCCGCACTGGGGGTCTTTATCCTGGGCACACCGGAGAGGTCTCCATCCTGGGCGTACTGGGGAGGTCACCATCCTGTCCTCACCAGAGAGGTCTCTATTCTGGCCACCCTGGTCCTCTGTTGTCCCCCTGCAGCCACAGGTCCCTGGATGAACTTGGCTGGGTTGGCTCTTCCCCTTTTCTCGGAATAACTGTAGAATGTGCCAAGAAAGCCACCCCCTGGTATCAGGAAGAACCGTGTGGACTGTCCAGAGCCCAGGCTCCAGAACTGGATTCCTTCGGCCCAGTGATCCCGGTTTCCCAGGTCTGTCCTGGCAGCCCTGGTCCTCCACTGTTCGCTGCAGCCACAGGTCCCTGGACAGACTTGGCTGAGTCGGCTTTCTGGGATCCCCCAGCTGCTGTCTGACGTGGGGCGCTTGCCTCCGAGGCTCCACCCTTCCCGAAGCTTCCCTGAGCCTGGGGGTCCTGCTGCCTGTCTGTGAGCCATGAAGTTGCTCTGCCCGACGTGTGCGTGTTCCATGTCACAGAACTAGACCTGTGACCGCAAGTGTGGAGGCGTGACCGCTGTGGCCCTGGGGCTGCCCTGAGTCCCACCGGAGCTCAGCACACCTGCAGTTTCCAAGTCCTCTCAGGACAGACACGGCAGGGGCCAAGCCAGCCACTCCCTGATTTGAATCAAAGAACACCTCCTTGCATCAGGGCCTTACTTGCTGTTACATAAAAGGAGTCGTATGCCTCAGGAACTGCGGGCCTCAGGAGGTGAAGTGACCATAAGCAGTCTTCACGCAGACCTTCTCAGGGCCTTCATGCTGGCTCGGATGGGGCAGGGGTGCTTCTTTCAGAGATTAAGTGGGCCCTCAAGGAAGCTGGTGCAGGAGAAACTTTCAGACCAGGGCTGAGGAAGCTTCTAAATGACAGTACAGTAAAAAGCCAGCCGAGGGCACTGACTCCAGAGAGATGCCGAGTTCAGAAACTGCACGCTTCTGTCCCGTGGACACTGGCCCAATTCTAGAACCCAAACCCCTGTGATTTCCCATAGGGCCATGCTAGAAAGGCTCTTTGTGAAATTCTGGTGCTCATTTTCCGCAGATCACTTCTCTGGGTGCAGAAGCGAAGTGACAGGAGGTTGGAAGAACCCCTCACCTACCACGCGTGTGAAGGTCTGGCCCTGTGAGAACAGCCGCAGGACAGATTTTCTGCTGGATGGGGGCTCAGAAAAGCCTGGGGCCACTGGGTCCTTTTCCCCGTTGCCCACTCCTGAGCCAGCGCTGGCCTAGTGACTGCCTTGGGACGGGGCTCTGCAGCCCTGTGGCTGTAGAGCTGGCTGATGCTTCATCTCGAGTAGTCCTGTGCACTGAAGGGCCAGGATGCTGGAGAAACCCTAGACCCTGCACAACAGCCTCCTCGTGCCCCGCCCAGCTCGCCTGCCCCTCGAGCACCCCAGCCGTGCACCCTCTGCCTCCTTGCCGCTTCCAGGCCTTTCCTGACAAGGCTCAGCATTCACTTAGCCTCCCTCCTGACAGCCCAGAGCCCACAGGCCCTGAAGGGAAGCTCCGCAGAGGCATTTCCTTTCCCAGATCTCCCAGGAGGAGGGAGGAGGGGCTCTGTGCCAGGCACCACTGTGCCCATGGAGCTAGACCTACACTCATCCAGGCTCCAGAAGATGTGCCCGAGACCAGCCTTGGTGATGCTGCGCTTCCTGTCTCCATTCAGAGCTCTGCCACTCCCTCTTCTCTGGGTTTCGTGCCTCTAGGGACATTAGTGACGGAACAGCCCCCATCCCATGATTACAATGCCGGAGTCAAGGCTCTAACAGAGACATGAATAGCCTGTGTCTTTCTTTGCCTTAAACAATCTAGTGGTCGTGATGTTCTCAGATGAAACAATATTGCCTTTCTCCCAGTAACATGAACTTGCTCAAATAGAAATCAGCTGACTCAACAGAATCATTTAAATGCAGTGAGGGGAATTCAGGGTACTTAAATAAATCTTGTGATTAATTATTTCATAAGTCAATGTGTACAGTCTGAGTGATTCTACTAAGTTAACCGGTGTTAAGTATTATGAGCAGAGTTTCTTAATGCCTATATAAAGCCTGCTAAAGGGCTGGGTGCGGTGGCTCACGCCTGCAGTCCCGACACTTCGGGAGGCTGAGGTGGGTAGATCATTTGAGGTCAAGAGTTCGAGACCAGCCTGGCCAACATGGTAAAACCCCCTTTCTACTAAAAATACAAAAGTTAGCAGGGCATGCTGGTAGGTGCCTGTAATGCCAGCTAATCAGGAGGCTGAGACAGGAGACTCGCTTGAACCCAGGAGGGAGAGGTTGCAGTGAGCTGAGATGGCGCCACTGCACTCCAGCCTGGGGGACAGAGCGAGGCTGCTAAGTCTAAGAGTGAGCTAAGTCTTGCTCTTTTATTTTTAAAAATAAAACCTAAGGGCTTCACATACTGGCCAGATTATTTCCTCCTCTTGTAAAATATATAATACTTGATTGAGAATAAAATATGTATTTTCACGAGAAGGAATGAAGCATCCATATATGCTACAGCGTGGATGGACCTGGAGAGTATTCTGCTCAGTGAAAGGAGCCAGTGACAATAGGCCAGATGTCCTCTGTGAGTCCACTTACATGAAATGTCTAGAATAGTCAAATCCATGGAGACAGAAGGAAGACTGCTGGTTGTCAGAGGCTGGGGCAAGGGAGATTGGGGAGTAACTGGTTAATGGGTGTGGGATTCTTTGGGGGGTGAATTAGAGGTGGTGGTTACACAACACTGTAAGTGCACTGTCACTGAACTGTATACCTTAAAAGTTAATTTTTTGGCTGGGCGTGGTGGCTCACACCTGTAATCTCAGCACTTAGGGAGGCCAAGATGGGTGAATCACCTGAGGTTAGGAGTTTGAAGCCAGCCTGGCCAATATGGCAAAACTCTGTCTCTACCAAAAATACAAAAATTAGCTGGGTGTGGTGGTGCGCACCTATATTCCTAGCTACTTGGGAGGCTGAGGAAGGAGAATTGCTTGAACCCGGGAGGCAGAGTTTGCAGTTAGCTGAGATGGTACCATTGCATTCCAGCTTGGGCCACAGAGTAAGACTATGTCTCAAAAAAACAAAAATCAAAAAACAAAACTAAAAAATATTTTTGAAGACTAAAGATTATTTATTTTCTCCTAAATTCCATAAAATATGTGTTACTTCTTTCAAATTTTTAAATTATAAAATACCATATTAAAACTTTATCCTTTTAATCATTTTCAAGGCATTAAGTATATTCACATTGTTGTATAACTGCCATCACCATCCATCTCCAGAACTACTTCATCCTGCAAAACAGAGACTCTATGCCCATTCAGCACCAACTCCCCACCCCCCTGACCCAGCCCCTGGTGACCACTATTATAGTTTCTGTCTCTATGAATTTGACTAAGAACCTCAGACAAGTGGAATCATACAGTCTCTGTCCAAAGTGACCAGTTTATTTCACTTAGCATAATGTTCTCAAGGTTCATCCATGGTGTAGCATGTGTCAGCATCTCCTTCCTTTTCAGGGGTGAATAATATTCCATGTTGTGTATGCGCTGTGTTTTGTTTACCTATGCGTCTGTTGATGGATGCTTGGGTTGCTTCCACCTTTTGGTTATTACAAAAAATGCTGCCATGAACACGGGGACACAAATGTCTTTTTCTGTCCCTGTTTTCCAGTTTTGGGGGCATAAACCAAGAGGTGGAATTGCTGGATCACATGGAAACCCTATTTTAAATTTTATGGTTAATTATTATTAACCATACCGAGATGGTTAATTTTCTGTTATGTGAATTCACTTCCATAAAAAATATTGTGGTGACCTATCTCCATTAAGTAGGCTTGTGGAATTTCACACCCTAAAAGTATTCAAAGCTTTAATTTCTCTAGAGCGACTTGGTGTGGAGGCGAAAAGACTCCACCCAAAGAAACGACAAGATGGAAGCCTTTCCAGCCACCATTACCTGACTCTCAGAGGACGTCCGGCCTCTCCGCTTGGAATGATGGGAGGCCGCCATGTGAGCCCAGATGCCTTCCTCGTCAGAGGTATCCACGTCGGCCAAGTACTGCGGGGGCAGCTGCTCCTTCCTGATGACATTTGGCCCTTTGGAGCAAGAGTGGGTTTGAATTACTTGGAGCGAAAAGCTGAAAGCCAATGGACGTGTTTAGTCCAGTGAAGAAAAAGGAGAGCTCAAAGAAAATAAAGACATAATGATGTCCCTCTGATGTCACAGGGATGAGGTTCCAAAGTCACAGTAAGAATGGAGCCGATTCCACGATCACACACAAAGATCTTCAGGAAAAAAGAGGCCTTCGCCTGACAGTATGGGTGGGAGTTAAGAGTGGACATATTTTGCATGCTTGCGAAGCAAAGTAACGTGATTCCCAATTTCAAATTGCAAATAACGCCTGATTCCATGAGGATGAGGTCATAAATGCATTGTTTTAAGCCACATTTTACATTTGTGATAATTTGCTATGTAGTCAACAGATTCAGCCATCTCATTTAATCCCTATGACAATGGGGTGAGTTTATTAACCCCTTTTGCACAATGAGGAAATGGAGGTGCCCAGAGGTTAAGTAATTTGTTCTGCCAGCATGGCATATCTCACTGGATCTCAGACTTTGCAGATTGGATGTTGCACTATTAAGAGAGAGAGACAGTGGCCGGGTGCGGTGGCTCACGCCTGTAATCCCAACACTTTGGGAGGCCAAGGTGGGTGGATCACGAGGTCAAGAGATCGAGACCATCCCGGCCAACATGGTGAAACCCTGTCTCTACTAAAAATACAAAAATTAGCCGGGCATGGTGGTGTGCGCCTGTAGTCCCAGCTACTCAGGAGGCTGAGGCAGGAGAATTACTTGAAACCAGGAGGCAGAGGTTGCAGAGAGCTGAGATTATGCTACTGCACTCCAGCCTGGCAACAGAGCAAGACTGTCTAAAAAAAAAAAAAAAAGAGAGAGACAGTGCTGCCAGCGAGACTCAAGCACACCCTTTTCTTACCACATTCACTGTAAGATGCTCGGCATATGAGAGGTTGAGATGTCAAAGGAACGTATGTGAGAACCAGTGAAGCAAACTGGCAGAGCCAGGCTCCAAACTCAGAACTGCCTGCCTCCAAGGTGCCTCTCCCAGCACGATACAGGCTCTCGTGGCCTCTCCCCAGACTGCCTCCTGTCCACATGCTCAGGGGACGTGAGATCACAGAAGAAATAAAACTGCCATCCAGGTCTGGATCCTATGGTCTGGCCAAATCATTTATTCATTGTTTTTGGGGAAAGTAGAACCCTGCCTTCCTCCCCAAACCTCCAAGGTCCCTGTCAGCATGAGGGCCATGAGATTATGGTCCCTTTAATACAATGAAGAGGGAAGCTGGAGAGCAGACGGCGTTCCCACACGTGGCCGCTCGCTGTGGCTGGGGAAGCTGCCGCTGCTGCCACCCTACTTGCTCCGCTCTGATGGGGCGTGTGAACTCCTAGACCCAAGGTACACACACCCTCGGGTACCGGAAAAGAGAGATTTGGGGATTTCATTTCAAAGCAAAACTGATAACAAAGTTAAGCTAAGCAGATTTAGTTTCTCAGTGCTTAAAGATCTCCTGATCAACAGCCTTGAGCCGACTCTGGGCCGCGGTGGCAGTGCCCAGATGCCCATTTTGCCCAGACACCTGTCTTGCCCAGACCAGGATGGTTGGTCAGTTGAGTGGTGGTTCTAGTCATTTCAGGGAGGCCTGCATGTCCCCACCTCAGGCCAGCAGTAGGGAGCTGTGAGCTGGCCACCTTGTGCTGGAAGTTCTGAGAGTTACAGGGAAGCACACAACCCAGGGAGGGCAGGGGCCCACAGCGTTTGTTGGGACTGCACGTCCTGACAAAGGAAGGGGTCTTTCACATCAGCCCATGTGTTGGCATAGGTCAGGGTGGTGGGGTTGTTTCTCAGTGACCCCCTCCCGCATGCCGAGCCCATCAGGAAGACCCTGGCCAAGGGCACCTACCTAGTGCAGCGGCAGTCCCCAGGGCCAGCCCGCGGGAGCCTCCAGGCAGGGAGAGCTCAGCGAGGGCGCCGTGTCCGGAAGGCGAGATGTGTGTCGGCTGCTCTTCTGGACGGGGATGGTACCCAGAGGCCCCAGTGTCAGCCTCCTCCAGGCCCTCAGCCTTCTGGAGGACTGCCTTCTCTGAGCAGGACTCATCTGTGAGGGACTAAGCACAAGGGCCATCAGCCTCCTCTGTGGGGTTTACTAGGAGGGGCCACTGCCTGGAATGTGGGTCTTTCAATCCAAGCCCTGAGACTTTCCAGTCACTTGACTGACCTAGCACTAGACCCCCATCCACCCTGGTCCCCGCTACTCAGTTCTCTTAAATTTCAAAGGCTGTGCCTAAAGCATGTACTGCCTATTTGTTCCCTACTGACTGCCTACTGCATGCGTCCATGCGGTGTTGGGGCTCCCAATGACACCCTGGACCAGGCATGACACAAGGGGACCTAAACTCTTCTGACACAGCCTCGGGGGCTCAGACTCACCCAGAGACCAAAGCCCGAGGACACGGGAGCAGGTATTTTTGGGAGCAGGTTGCATGTTACTAACTAGGTACACCTTAATCTTTGTAGATCCGAAGGGCAGGTGGGGGCTTCCTGGCAGCTCCTTGGCTGTAGTCTGGACAACCCTCCAGCAGAGGGGTCTGTCTCTGTGTTATGTCACTGTCTCCAAGGAAATGAGGTCCTGAGACCTTCAAGAAGCAATATGCCACAGCGCCTCTCCAGTGTGACTGTGAGTGGGGGTGGAGGCCACAGGAAATGCACGCTTACGCCAGCCTCCAGTTAGAGCAGGACCCGTGGCCTGGAGACCACTTGGCTGCTGGCTTCCAGGATCCACCCTGCTTCCCCCTCCTCCTGGAAGGGTTTTCAGGCCAGCCTGAGTGGACCCAGCCCCACCCCAGCTCTGGCTCAGCACTACCTGAGCCCAGGAGATGCCCGGGAGTGGAGTTCAGGCATTCACTATGAAGCCGGCCTTGGGCCTAGGCCTGGCTCAGTGCCAGTGGTTACCTTTACTGCCTGCCTGTGAGACCCATGGCTTCCACCGACAGCACCTATGATGATTAGTACTGAAAATTAATGAGTATGGCTCACGGACTCGCTTCATCTTTGCTATCCTGCCTAGCAAATTCAAACTATGAGTGAGTCCATAGCTGAACCCTATTACTTACTTGAGGCCTTCAAACACTGCTCTTGATGACTTCTAAGAAATCTCACTAACCTTGCCTTACCTCCACCATTAATCTAGTAGGAGAACTCTTTGTGACTATGGCACATTCTCCTGATCTAATATCATCATTATGCTTTTAGGACTTAGTCTACTAATGACAGCCCTCTACTCCCTAAATATGCTAATCATGACACAATGAGGGACACTTACGTATGACATTAACAGTATTAAACCTTCCTTTATATGAGAAAATACATTAATACAGATACATCTTGCGCCTCTCTTCCTATTACCCTTAAGCCCTAAAATTATTATGGGGCTTGCATGCTGTAGCTATAGTTTAATCAAAACATTAGATTGTGGATCTAACAATAGATGCCTGTTAACAGTCTGTGCAAGGGCTGCAGACTCATGCCCCCATGCCTAACAACACGGCCTTCTCAACTTTCAAAGGGTTAGAGTCATGCGTTTGTCTCAGGAACCAAAAACATCGGTGCAGCTCCAAATAAAAGTAACAAATGAAAGTATTCTTCCCCTGCTGTAACAGCCCTAATCCCCTTCATCTTACCGATTGGTGTTACCTCAGCCAACCCCTGCAAAAAAGGTTCATAACACGCAAATGATATAAAAACACCTATGGCATGTGCCTTCATCATGAGTCTCACAACAATGTTCGTATACACAGACCAGAAGTCCTTATATCCAACTGACATTGAATGACGGTCCAGAATCTCAAACTCTCACCAAGCTTCAAACTAGGCATTTCTCCACAATGTCTATCCCAGTAGCACTATTCGTTACCTGATCTATTGTAGAATTCTTCATATAGAAACTCAGACCCTAACATGAGTCACTTTTTCAAATACTTATTTTCCTCCTCACAATATTAATTCTGGTTACCGCCAACAACTTCTTTCAGCTCGTTATCAGATGAGAAGGTGTAAGAATCATGTCTTCTTTTTTTTTTTTTTTTTTTTTTTTGAGATGGAGTTTCGCTCTTGTTACCCACGCTGGAGTGCAATGGCGCGATCTCAGCTCACCGCAACCTCCGCCTCCTGGGTTCAGGCAATTCTCCTGCCTCAGCCTCCTGAGTAGCTGGGATTACAGGCACGTGCCACCATGCCCAGCTAATTTTTTTGTATTTTTAGTAGAGACAGGGTTTCACCATGTTGACCAGGATGGTCTCGATCTCTTGACCTCGTGATCCACCCCCCTCGGCCTCCCAAAGTGCTGGGATTACAGGCTTGAGCCACCGCGCCCGGCCCAAAATCATGTCTTCTTACTAACTGGCTGACGGTGCAGGTGAGCAGATGCTAAACCCGCCGCCCTCCAACAGTTCTGCATATCTGCATTGGCGACACTGGTTCTATCTTAGCTTCCTCCTGTTCTCCAACACATGAAAACGTCAACAAACATTTATTCTAGACGCCACCCGCAACTCCCTTCCTTCCAATAATTAGCTTTCTCTTAGCAGCAGCAGCAGGAAAGTCAGCTCAGTTTGGCCTTTGCCCTTGACCTCCATCGCCATGGAAGGCCCAACCCGAGTCTCAGCCCTGCTCCACTCCAGCACGGCAGCTCGAGCAAGAGCTTTCCTGCTCATCCACTTCTATGCTTTAATAGAAAATGACCTATCAATCCAAACCTTTCCAATATGTCTGGGGGCTATTATTTTCTTATTTACAGCAATCTGTGCTCCAACACAAAATGGTATCAACCAGCTAGGCCTTACAATAGTCACGGTTGGCATTAATCAGCCACACTTCGCATTCCTTCACATCTGAACCCACATGTTTTCAAAGCTATATTATTTATATATTCAGGGTCCATCATCCCTAACCTCAGTGATGAACAAGACATCCTAAAAACAGGAGGACTGTTCAAGACTTTACCCTCACGTCCTCCTCCCTTAATGTCACCAGCCTTGCACTTACAGGTATGCCTTTCCTCAAGGGCTTTTACTCTAAAGACCTCAGCATGGAAACCACAAACACATCATGCCCCAACCGTTACTCTTATTGCCACCTCCTTAACGGTTGTCTATACCACCCGTATTATTTTCTTTGCTCTAATAGGACAAGCTTGCTTCATGACTCTGGTTACTGTTAATGGAAATAACCTCTTCCTAATTAACTCATTAAGCGGCTAACAGTCGGCAGCATCTTCGCCGGATTGCTCATCACTAACGGCAACCTGCTTTGTCCTCCCAAGCAAGCAGCCCACTCCACCTGAAGCCCACAGCCCTAGGTTAACCACCTGAGGCTTCCTGCTAGCAGTGGAGCTTAATCTCACAACTAATAACCTTAAACTAAAATACCCACTACAGACATTCAACTTCTCCAACACCCTAGGATTTTATTCAGCCACAGTTCAATGTACAACCCCCAACTCAAGCCTCTTCACAAGCCAGAATCTGGCTTTACTTCTACTAGGCCTAATTTGGCTAAAGAAGTCTATATCAAAGGCCATTACACAAACCCAAATTTCAGCCTCCATTACCCATTACTGTGTCACTCAGAAAGGCCTAATTAAACTATTTTCTCTCTCTCTCTCTCTCTCTCTCTCTCTCCCTCCCTCTCTCTCTTTGAATCTTGCTCTGTTGCCAGGCTGGAGTACAGTGGTGCAATCTTGGCTCACTGCAACCTCAGCCTCCTGGGTTCAAGCGATTCTCCTGCCTCAGCCTCCTGAGCAGCTGAGACTATAGGTGTCTGCCACCACACCCAGCTAATTTTTGTATTTTTAGTAGAGACGGGGTTTCTCCATGTTAGCCAGGATGGTCTCCATCTCCTGACCTTCTGATCTGCGCACCTTGGCCTCCCAAAGTGCTGGGATTATAGGCGTGAGCCACCGTGCCTGGCCTACTTTCTCTCTTTTTGTATCCCATCCCTTCTAACACTACTCCTAATTATCTAATCTATTACCCGAGTAATTTCAATTGCAACATACTAACAAATAATGATCAACCAGCAACTATCACTAATCAGCACCTTGGAGAGGTTCCTGAGACAAAAGCCACACAGCTAATGAGTAAGGTAGCCACATGTCCTGTTCGCCTGGATGGCCCCTGCCATTGCCCTGCGTCCAGGTGTGATTATTAATAGTAGCCCATATCATAGGATGGTCCTAGTTTGGTCAATAAAATGTATGTTCCCCTCCCACTAGATCGAGATGCAGGCACAACGGCAGGCCCTGTCTGACTCCACCTGAGATGCCGTTCTCTGTCCTGCCCTCCTGAGTCTTGAGGGTTCTGTCTTATTTCTGCGCCAAGCACTGATACCATTCCCTGGTCCCGCAGCTCATCCGCCCAGCCTCAGGGCCCTGCATCAGCCCTCACTTCTCCAAGCTGCCTGCTCAGTGTCTCCAGACATGCTAATCCTGGGGGAGTGTGAGGTCTCTGGATCCTGTTTCCCCACAACTGTCCCCCTCCCTGTCATGCCTTGGGAGCCAGGTGGGACTATGTGGCCATCACACACTTCTTCCAGAGTGCTGTCCCTCACCCAAGGCGTGAGCACCTGCCACCCAGTTTCCTGGGAGGGGAAGGGGAAAGACACGAGGACCCACTGACCTGCAGGCTGTCCATGGTCGCTGGGACTGAGGGCAGGTGCAGGGAGTGATCTTGAGGCTGACTGGAGTCATCTGAGTCTCCTTCGAAGTCAAAGTCACGGATGGAGAGGAGGCGCTTTTTCTTAGCAGGCACAAGACAAGGCAAGACTCAAGTCAGGGCTAGCTTGAGGGAGAGGACCAAGCACCCTGCACCTCCCCAACCCTGCACTCAGCCTCCAGGCTGGCGAGGCAGGCTCCTCTTCCAGCACATCCACCTCCTCCACTAGGAACAAACCTGACTGAGCCCGTAGAGGGAGCTGGTTGGTGTTCACAGTGCCCATCCCCCCCGGGACGCAAGGTCTGCATCTCTAGAACCTTGACTGAGCAGAAGGAAACTGAGCCGAACTCCTGCCCCTGCCCAAGGGCCCCACCTTGGGGGCAGGTAGGCTGTTCCAGGGCTGGGAGAGGGGAGGACCCCTGGGGCTTTGGGTAAGGGGGATGCGATGGCTAAGTGGGGCAGAGGTGGGCAAGCTCCTGAGAGTTCCTCATTCTTTAGATGCAAGAGCCTGCCTTTAGTTCTAAACCCCTCCTTCATTATAATTATTTTGATCCTTTAAACTGATCTATCATGTAGGGAATATTCCAGGCACTGGAGAGCATTCTGGGAAATTCATACATAGCATGAATCAAATGTTCTTAAGCGGAAGATGATGATGTTCTCCTATAGCAACTGCGAAGACCTGGTTCATGTTGAATCTCACTGGCCTGTCTCTCTCCTAGCGTCTAAGTCTGAACCCCTGCTCACCCACTCAGCCACTTCCTCCAACTGCTGCCCCTTTCTGTATTCCACCCCAAAACCCAGGGGCTACATTGCTTTTCTCTCCCATAAGTTAGACAACATGTGAACACAGGAACAAACACAAGGCTCATAGTTGGCCAAAAATAAAAAAAAAAAAAGAATAAAAACCCAGAAGAAGAAAACATCTCAGAGGAGAGTCAGGGTCCACTTTCCTGAAAGCTGCAAAGGCGGCTGCTCTCAGGACGCTGAGAGCCTTCCAGAACCCCTGCCTGCCTACAGCAGCCCCCTGCACTCACTGTACCTGTGTTCCCCTGGACTCTCGCCACACATTCAGCAGGCTGTGCCCACCCACAGACGGCTTCTGAGGCTTCTGATGGTGGAAGCACTGCTGCTGCTTGGTGCCCAATGATCTGAGAGGTTACTGAGGCCTGGGAAAGGGCGGCGGGTTCTTGATGCTCACACAGTAGGAGCTAGTGGAGTTGTGGGGAGAGCATCGAGGTTTTCAGAAAATCAGAACCCGAGGTTCCAGCTGTGGGGAGGAATCGAGGTGGCTGAGGAGAGGGTGACTGGAGATGACTTACTTTGCTGCCAAGGGGCTGGGCCTGGGCCTCTGAGTCCTGCTCTCCATCGTCATCCGTCTGCTCGCTGTCTTCACTTCTCTCTTTGGAGACTGGCTCAGGCCCCGCTGCAATAGATACCTGCATGACTCCACCCAAGGACAGCCAGTCTAGAAGCAAGCCATTAGTCAGTCCATACACACACCCATCCTCTAATCTATCCATCCACCTACCAACCCCTCCCTCCTTCATCCATTCACTCACCTATCCACCCAGAAATGGATCCCTCCATCTACCCATCTGCCAATCCATCCATCCATCCATCCATCCATCCATCCATCCATCTATCCATCTATTCACCTACCCGCCCACCCATTTATCCACTCATCTACCCACTCAATAGGCAGCCCATTCATCCATGCATGCAGGCATCCATCCAACCATCCACTCACCCACCCACTTACCTATCCTCCACCCATCTATTCATTCGTCCACTCACTCAATCAGTGGCCCATCCACCCATGTATTCATCCATCCATCCCTCCATCCACCCGCTCATCATCAATCCATCTACCCAATCAATCAGTAGCTCATCCACTCACCCACCCATCCATCCCTCCCTCCTTCATCCATGAACCCACCCACCTATCAGTCCATTTATCCATTCATCCACTCAGTCAATCAGTGGTCCATCTATCCGTGTACCCACTCATTCACCTACCCATCTGCCCATCCATTTACCTATCCATCTATTCATCTATCCATCCACCTACCACCCATCCCACTCTCTTTCATTCATCTACCCATTCACCCAGCTGCCCACCCATCCACCCACCAATGCACGCATCCACTCAGATATCTATCCATCCATTCATCTATCCTTCCATCCACCCATCCACTTACTTACCTATCCATCCATCCATCCATCCATCCATGCATCCATCCATCCATCCATGCATCCACCCATCTATCCACTCATTCACTTATCCATCCATCCATCCACCTACCTATCCATCCATTCATCTATCCATCCACCTACCACCCATCCCCCCCATTTCATCATCTACCCATCCACTCAGCTGCCTACCCAACCACCCACCAATCCATCCATCCACTCAGCCATCTATCCATCCATCCACTTATCTATCTATCCATCTACCTGTCACCCACTCACCTATCTACCCACCCACCCATCCATACATCCACTCACCTACCACCTTAGCTGCCCATCCATCCACCTATCCATCCATCCATCCATCCATTCATCATCCATCCATCTCTCCCTCTCCCACAATCCACCCACTCACTGAGAAACATCCAGACAAGGCTCCCTGCTGGCCTTTCATAGACCTATCGAAACATCACTTAGAGCTGGTCTGAATTACAGTATAAAAACCGTACTCTGCATCAATGTCACCAATCAGTTGCCAATGTTACCAATCGTTGTTGCCAACAGGTCTGACCATGTCTTCAGGATTGTACTTATTGAGCAGTGGGAAGACCCTGGAGCTGTAGAGTGTGAAGGAGACCTGGAACAAAGTCATGTTCTCCCAAACACATGGCTTTACCGGCAGGCTCATAGCACTTGCTGGTCAGCAGGTCTGGCCTCAGCACTGCAGGGAGGGAGGTGAGGCAAAGCACTCATGCCTCCTCTCCTTTTTCTGCCTCACAGGGTTCCTTCCTTACACTGAGCTACTGGGCCTGGCCTCCCTAGCACAGTTCATGGTCTTTTTCTCCTTTCTCCCACTCACCTTGGCCTGGCCTGTGCTGGGACTGTGCCAAGTGACTCAATAAAGGGACCCCAGGGTTTAGCACTGGGAGGCCCTGTGGACCATCCACCTTTGTATTCCAGGGGCTGCCGAGGGCACAGCTGGCACTGTGGAGCTCAGATCCTCCAGGCCCAGCCAGGCCTTGCTGCCTCTGGATACCCCTGCCTTGGGGCCTACCCCTGGCTCTCTGTGCCTCTGGGATCACAGGTGGGAACAAGCAGGCATTGGTGCATTGGAGCGTGCACTGTCAGCTGCAAAGGGCTGCAGGACTGTGGGTGCGGAGCCCGGGGTGGCCTCAGAGCCACCTTCACTCTCTGCTCCATGATGCAGGAGCTGGCCCTGCATGCCACACCTCTGCCTGGCCCGCTGCTCTCTGAGGGCTCAGCCCCCAGCGAGTGAGAGTGGGAAAAGGAAGAATGAATGTGTTCCTTTCTGGGGCTTCCAGTCCAAAGCCCTTGACCCTGATAGCTGGTCCAGCTTCGTCGCGGCCCCTGAGACACGGTCACCAGCCAGCAGCATTCCTGTTTTGGAGGGCTGGGTCCCACCCCTGGGGGGCCTCCTTGGAGCTCCCTGTTTCTATTAACCCCAGCCTCTGCCCTTCGCTCGCAGTCCTGGTGGCTGTGGGGATGCAGGCATTTCTGCAGTTATGACCCCTGATACGTGGTATCTCCTTTCCCATTCTCCATTAACAGCATTTGAACCAGTTCCTCATATGAAATGACCGTGTGGTTTCTGCTTTAGACTTTTCCCCGACTGGCCCACCTGTGGTCCCCACAGCTCCTATCCTCATCTCTCGGGGCTGGGGCCCCTTGGCAGGAAGCTCCTGCCTTGCAGGTTTCAGTCCCAGAGGCACAAGTGTCCCTATTTGCTGGACTGGCTGTGCTGACTGTCCCCAAGTGGGGACAGCAGGGTCTGCCTCTTCCACAGCCTGGGGTGGCCTCAGGACAGCCCAGGACCCAGCACCTGGCAAGCATTCAGTGGATGCTGAATCAATCACTGACACATCTTCCAAAGCCTCCCTCGAGATGGAGACCTCGCTGTGTACCTCCCTTCACCCACCAGAGTGCCACACACCCTCCTCCCTGCTGTCTACACCAGCTCACGATTCTACCATCGACTGGGCCTGGGCAGCTCTATGTTCTCAGGCTCTGTCCTGAGCCAGCAGAAGTCTTTTACATGGGTTGGAAAATCAAGTCTCATTGTCCAGTTTTCCATTCATAATATGGAGATCGAAAGAGTCAACCAATTGGCAAAACTGGAAATCTGGACGGACTTTATAACAAGCAGCTGAGATCAGGTGACAAGCACACACTGTCACTGCCCACCCTGACTGAAGCTGCCTTGGCCATTCACCACTTTGCTGCCGTTTAGGAAAGTCTGGGAAGATGCTGGGGTGAGTCAAGGGGAACGGCTGCCTGCCTGGTCTCAGTGGGCCTCAGTTTCCCCAGTGGAAGGAGAGATGGGGGAGGCAGCCTGGTATATTCTTTACTTAAATATTTCCCTTAAAGATAAAAACTGTCAAGGGTCTTAAGGGGGCCTGCAGATGCCTGTGTCTGAGCGCGGCCAGGTCTGTTTTTATGCACTCAGCGGAGGCCTGCCCGGCTGGCAGTGCTATTGGGGCTCACAAAACAATGTTCCCCAATGAGGCCTCAGCAGCAGCCTCAGAAGCCAAGCATCTCTCTGACCTTCTGCTCTCTTGTCTCCCAGGCCCATTCTCCCCCAAGGCCAGCCATCGAAACTAGTAGAATCCCTCTCTCCAAGGCAGGATATAGAAACCAAAATCCCTCTCTCCCAAAGCCAGCCATTAAACACACAAATCTCACTCTAACGTTCTCTCTACTTTTCTTGTAAAAACCAGCCATAAAGAAATCTGGCTGGGCATGCATGGCTCATGCTTGTAATTCCAGCATTTTGGGAGGCTGAACTGGGAGGACTGCTTGAGCCCAGGAGTTCAAAACCAGCCTGGGCAACACAGTGAGACCCCATATTTAAAAAAAAGAAGAAGAAAAAAAGCAATTATTTGACTTTCCTTGCTTGACTTTAATCTTCTTCCTCCAGGAATGGAAAGGGTCCTGCTCCACTCCTGGAGGAAGAAAGGCAAAGAAGATTGTAGACAGACAGGCCTTCCTGGGCCCCCCTCAGCCTGTCAGCAGTAGACCTGGCCTTGCTGTATGATCCTCTTTCACAAGCTGTCCATCCTTTCTTGAACTTAAGCATAAAAGTGGACAGTTTTCCTGCATCCGTGGGTCTTCATTCTGAAGGCTCCCACGTATACATGGTGAACACATTTCTATGTCTTTTGTCCAGTGAATCTGCCTTTCACAAATTGATTTTTCTGCAAACTTTCAGAAGGTCAAAGCTTTTGGCTCTGAATGTGCCCAGGTGATGGGGCCAGAGAGCAGACCTGGTTTTAGTTTTGTTCTCTCTGGACAGTGAGTACCGTGAAGAGATGCATCCCAAACCACCAGGCAGAGACCCTGAGGTGTGACCTCCCCCTGCATCCGGGGATGTGGAAATGGGCTTTCCGGGGCCTGGGGGCCCGCCTGTCAGGCTGATGTCCTGGCCCCCAAGATGAACATGAAGAGGAAGTATCCCGAGCTCAGGGATCCTTTTCTTGTTGACCCCTATGATCACTCTGCACTTGAACCAAGGGTTTGGGTAACACTATCCTATCTATCTAATCAAGTCATGCTAAAAAAAAAAAAAAAAAAAAAAATTTTCCTCATTCCTGACACAGAACAGAGATTTTCTGAAAACTCTTGATAGGGAGGAGAAAACAAAAATAGAACCACGTGAGCATAAAGAACTTAGTGTTGACGTCAGGTGAGCTTGCACTGCCAGGCAAAGCTACCACTGAGGGAAAGGCACGGGGAGGGAAGGCGCGGGTGTCGGGGGGCTGTGTGCTCACTGACCAGCCCAGAGTTTTCCTTCCTTTCCATCGAAGCTGCTTCCTGCAGAGCCGGCCGGGTCTCCTGTGGAAGCCTGGGTGAAACACCCAGCCCTCTGCAGGTTCACTCAGTGAAGACCCCCAGCGGCCCACCTACCAGCCACACAAGGTCTGCATTAGGCCCTGGCTGGAGCAGGTTTCAAAACCTTAACCTTAACTTTTTATGCCCTACTTAAAAAAAAAAAAAGGCCCAGCTTTCCCAGTTTTTGTGTTCTTTGCCCGCGCCCTGTTTTGATGTTGTAGTTATAGGTGCCCAGCATCAGGGGACGCAGCCCCTGTGGGACTTGGAGGAGCTGCTGGGAATCCAAGTTCAAGGGACAGCTGTTTTCTGTTGCCCCACAGCGGCACCTCCTGGCCCTTGGTGTTGATGATTTTGAAATTGGCAGGTTGGGAGGGATGGTGTGAACTCCAGCAGCTCTGGGCTAGGCTTCGGAAACCCTGTATCCTTCGAAATGACACAGCTTCCTGAGCCCACCCCAGTCCCTAAAAGCTGCCTCTGGGGTTGAGATTCTCAGATGCTCGAGAGCGTGGCTTTTCCCGCTGTTACGCGTCATTTCCGCCCCTAAGCCTGGTGGGGGTGACTGGAGGCTGGACCAAGCGCCGTCGGCTGCCGGAAGACCCTTCAGTGGGCCCCGGGCTGGCCATGTGCATGTGGGGAGGTGGGATTTGCTGCTGGGCGTCATAGAACAGGGTGATGGCCTCTCCCCATGTCTTCGGCCATTCCTAGTCACATTTGTTGTTGCAGCATGTAATCAGTGGAGCCTCCTTTTACTCTTGAGAACGCCCTGGTTTGGGTGATTTACCAGACTCGTCCACACCCCCACCCCCACTCCCGCCAACCAAGACGTGCAGCCACCCTGTGGTGTGCGGTGTGCTGCTCCAGGTGTGCCACTCGGTGGCCTCTGTCTGAAATTAAAAGCTGTGTTAAGATGCCGTGAAATGCCTGCTGCTGGCCCAGCGAGAGCTTGAATGCCCGGAGGGTGTCTATGACAACTTCCGCTTCTCCAACCAAACTTGGCTTTAATGGACAGGCATGAATAAGGTGTCTCTCCAGAAAGAAGGCCTGAGGGAGGCACCTGGGCTGGGGCATGGCGAGGATACCCCAATCCAGAGGCACAGCCTCTGCCCTGGATGTGCCCAGCTGCTGGGGCCAGGCAGTTGCCTCCCGGCCCTGGAGAAACTCGCCTTGGTCCTGCAGATGGAGTCATCCAGGACGCTGAGACCCCAGACACCCGGCTTGGTGGGGAATGTCCCACCCGAATGCTTGGCTGGGCTTAGTAGCAGAAGCCTGGGACTCAGGTAACAGGGACAATGAGCTTTCTCAAAAACACCGCTGAGTTAGCTCCCTTCAAACTCAAACGCAGAAGACTCTCAGGCATCCTCCCTCCCTCCCCCCGAAAAGATCTCTTCCAAATGCCTTACAGGGGGATATGATAGGCAAACACATTGTTTAGTTTAAGCCTACTGCCTGGATTGCAAATTCATCATGAGATAAATACTTGGATTCAAAAAACGAAAACAATTGAATTACAACAGATTTCTCTAAATCTTGATAATTACCAGATTCAAGTGAAATGTTTGTTGAAAAGACAGAGTCTCGGCCCCAAACCAGATGTCCCAGGGAAGAAAGGCTTGGAAAACATGTAGCATTAACAAGCACTCTGGCAATTCAATCAGCAGCTGCTTTCAGAAACCTGGCTTTGAGTTTTCAACTTACTTTGAAGACTTGAAAACAATACAATTTCAAATATTGGCAACTTCAACAGCACCCAGGACTTCTGAGGTGCTCTGACAATCCCAGTGGGATGCAGATGTTTGCACCTCACATAAAAACATGCCAACTTCACAGGGCACAGTGGCTCACGCCTATAGTCCCAGCACTTGGGGAGGCCAAGGTGGGTAGATTGCTGGAGCCCAGGAGTTCGAGGCCAGCCTGGGAAACATGGTGAGATGCCTGTCTCTACAAAAATTAAATTAAAAAAAAAGCAGCCAACTTCACGTAAGATACCAGAAGGAGAAATTGACAGACAAGCGCATGCACACGTGTACACACACACACACACACACACACACACTCCAAAGGAACATGCTTTAATATTCCTAAAATGCCTGGGAACGAAAAGCCCTTCCCACTGTCCACTCCTTACCTCCACTCTGCAGCCGCCCACGGAGGGACCGGATCACTTTGGCACTTCCGAACCTCTTGAAGCGGGCTTTCACGTGCTCATAGTACCACTCCAGTGAGCCAATCTTCACAACTCTGCAGAGACAAGCACAGGCCCATGGCACTGCCTGTGTGCAGCACACAGGCCTGCATAAATCATGCACACACGAGTGTGCGCACGTGTGCATCCAGCTTTCGTCAGCTAGCCCCGCGGAAGGGACATGCCAGATCCAGAAACTATCAAGGTCATTTGACCTCCAGGCTTGGGCGTACCTGGCCAGATGGCAGGGGTCACAGAGCCAGGCCTGCTCCTCCGGGTCGAGGCAGCCACAGCTTTTGCAGGTGAAGAGGCCACATTCCAGGCACTGCCTTTTGCTGTTCACGAACAGCCGGTAGGGCTGCAGGCAGTGGGCACAGTGGGTCTCCTGCAGATGGGCAGTGTCGGAAAGCAGCTCCCTCTTGGAGCTTTCCTTCTTAATCTTGCCCTTCAACCCCCTTGGAAAGATATCAGAAACAAGAAATGTATCAGACATCTTGTTTTTGCAACAGGCTTTAAATGTGTACATGTACACACATACACACACACACACACACACACACACACACACACACACACACAGCAACTGTTTCCTATGCAGAAAACAGTGACCCAAAGTTGGGCAAAAGTACACAGGCATCTTTGTGTTGAGGGCTGAGCTCAAACAGGCAATTTGGTAGGCTAGAATGGATTGGAAACATGAAATTTCATAGAAATGACATTGCATTTAAGCCTTTCTGTGGCTGTCTTACAATTGTACCAATTTTGGTTGACAGGTTCCTGCACCCTCCCCAGGGTGGTCAAAGAGTCCTGAGGGCAAAGCCAGATGGCAGTTCCTGATCAGGCAGTTTTGGGTCTCTTCCAGCAGGGAGGCAAGAGTTGAGCTAAGGCCCAGGTTTGCTCCCCTAGACCACAGATGAAATGGCTCAGTGGGTGTCCAGAGCAGGAATCATCCAGCACCCGGAAGTCCCAGTAAAACCACAGTTGTCCTAGACCATCCGGGCTTAAATAACACACAGCTTCCTGGTGAACCTGCCAAGTCAAACTTATTGGAAAATGTACCTGTGGATGACAATGAAAACATTTCTTTTGTTCTAGATTTCATAGAATGTCTGCCAAACGTAATATTTTCAGTTTCAGATGACATAAAATCAATCCATTCTTAGTGACAAAAACAAGAAGGACACTAGGTGCCATTGTCTCGTGAGAACTCTGAAGTGCACCAATTTCGATGCGGACACCCAGAGTGTGACAGAGGTGGAGAGTAGAGGAATCCACGAGGTGATGGGAGGCCACCTCTGGTTTAAGTGGAACAGGCTGAACGTCACTGATTTCCCTCTCTCAACTATTCACTAAAATACTCACTGAGATGGATGCAAAATCAGGCTCTTGTCACAGCTTCAAAAACCAAGAGAAAAAGGGTCAAGCAGTTGTAGGAATCTAGGGGGATACTGCCGACCACAGAATACAGTCTAGATAAAGCTGCAAGGTAGAGCCTTTGCCCCAAACAGAGGAGCATGAGACCCCTGGAGCCAGATGGGAAGGGCCTCACTCCCTCCATTTTCACCTTTGCCAGCTCTGCACCAACCAGAAAACCTGGAGGCTGCCCCTTTGCCAGACAGGGCTTGTTCAGCCTCTATCCCAGGGAGCACCTCTTCTTCTGTATCCGGGAGAATGATACCCCCGAGGCCCAGCACAGCCAGAAGAAAGCAAGGACGTGTGCGTTGCCCTGCATCTCAGGCTGGAGGAGTTTCTCTTAAATAACAGTCCAGAGGAGTCCTGGGCAGCAGCTGGAGCTTGATATATTTCAGTGGCTGACACTGGATAATACTCTGCTTTAGATTCTTTAAAACATAACCTCCCTTCATCATAGCCAGAGACTAGGAAGGGAGGGCAGAGAAGATCCCATGTGGGGAGAACAAATGACAGCTGCCAGTCACTCCAGGACACAGCAACCAGACCCGCAGCTTCAGATCCTCAAAGGCGAACGGGGCCGGAGCAATCCACGCCCTCTGCTTATCGGGTTGACTAGAAGTCACTCCTCAACAGGTAAAAGCCCAGCATCCGGCTCCAAGTTAAAGTTAGCTTCACGAATAAAAGACCCTCCTGAATGTGACTCATCATCGGAAACAGACTTGAAACAAGTCAGCTTGGTGTGTCGAATGGGGCATAAGAAAGTATATATAGTCTCAATGAGAGGGATGGAGGAGACGTGGGAGGAAACCAGGCTGAGATGAGAGGCCCACTGGCTCTGCTGGTGGAGGTGGAGAAGAGCTGGTGAAGACAGAGCGAGGAGTCACAGCCACAGTGGAGGGGCCATGGGCACGATCTCTACTGGGGAATATTAGGCCCAATGATTTCATTTAGTGATCTCCCAGGTGGTCCATGGACCTCTCCTCTGGAGGTTCCTAAGATCCTTTAGGGGGTGGGTCACAAGCCAAAGCTATTTTGATAATGATGCTGAGACATCTTTGCCCTTTCTTTGCTCTTGGATGCCTGCACCAGAAACACTGGTGGGGCTGGGCGCAGTGGCTCACCCCTGTAATCCCAGCACTTTGGGAGGCCAAGGCAGGCGGACTGCCTGAGCTCAGGAGTTCACGAGCATCCTGGGCAACACAGTGAAACCCCTATCTACCAACATACACAAAGTAGCCGGATGTGGCAGCATGCGCCTGTAATCCCAGCTTCTCGGGAGGCTGAGGCAGGAGAACAGCTTGAATCCAGGAGGTGGAGGTTGCAGTGAGCCGAGATTGCACCGCTGCACTCCAGCCTGGGTGACAGAGCAAGACTCCATCTCAAAAAAAAAAAAAAAAAAATTGGTGAGTAAATACTGAGGCTTTAGCAGGAGTCAGAGCAGAGGGCGCAACGGCACTGGAAGTTATTGTCTCCTTCATTGAAAAAGAAATGAGCCAGTTGCGGTGTGGCTCATGCCTGTAATCCCAGCACTTTGGGAGGCCAAGGCAGGCAGATAGCCTGAGGTCAGGAGTTCAAGACCAGCCTGACCAACATGGTGAAACATGGTGAAACCATGTCTCTACTAAAAATACAAAAATTACCCTGGCATAGTGGTGCATACCTGTAATTTCAGCTACTCAGGAGGCTGAGGCAGGGAAGTCGCTTGAACCTGGGAGGCGGAGGTTGCAGTGAACCAAGATTGTGCTACTGCACTCCAGCCTGGGTGACAGAGCAAGACTCCATCTCAAGAAAATCAAAAAACAAAAAACAAAAAACAAAAACAGCAAAAGAAATGAGAAGAAAAAACAGTTTAATTTAAGAGTCACCTTGATGAAACACTAAAACTTATGTCTTTCTGAACCATGGCCCCAGTCCATGTATGATGAGCACGGCGTAGTACAGAAAACCCTTCTGGCACATGTTGAAAAATGACAGATATTTCTATCAAAGGGACTAGGCAATTGTTCAGATTGCAACCTGAGCTAGAAACTTCTCATGAAATGCCATTTCCACTTGAGAGAACAACTGAGAGATGAACCATTTCGACTTGTTATTTGGCAGATAGTTTCTCAAAAATGAACAAAGTGAGACTCTCACTTCAAGGAAAAGAAGTGACAGTATTTATTGCCAGTAATAAAACGAAAGTTTTCAAGCGCAAAGTAGGATTCTGGAAAACATATATTCCTTGCTGTGAGCCTGACAGTTTCCAACACCGGGAGGTTTTTGATGAGATGCTGGTGAGAGCAACAGAAGTGATTCTCTTTTGGTGTGCAAATGAAATGTGTCCACATTTGAGAAGTCTGCTTAACTCAGTGAGCCAGTGTTTTCCAAATGATTAATGCACAGTGTTAGAAAAATCATCCAGAGGTAGAAAATCCATTTCAGGTGCAAGAGAAACCAATGGATTTGAACAAACAGAAAACGGAAAGTTTGTTAATATGATTTCAGATTCCACATTGAAATTAACCTTGAAGAAACTACCAACTGACTGGGCACGGTGGCTCACACCTGTAATCCCAGCACTTTGGGAGGCCGAGGCAGGCGTTCAAGACTAGGCGCTCAAGACTCCCAAAGTCAGGAGTTCAAGACTAGCCTGGCCAAATGGTGAAACTATCTCTACTAAAAATACAAAAATTAGCCAGGCATGGTGGAGCATGCCTGTAGTCACAGCTACTTAGGGGGCTGAGGCAGGAGAATCGCTTCAACCTGGGAGGCAGAGGTTGCAGGGAGCCAAGATCATGCCACTGCACTCCAGCCTGGCAACAGAATGAGAACTTTGTCTAAAAAAGAAAGAAAGACTACCTACTGCCAGGTTTTTATGTTGTTACAAAACATAATGTTTATTATCTGCAAAGGCTATTCAAATACTCCTTTTTTCAATTACGTGTCTGTATGAGCCTAGATTTTCTCCAGCTACTACAGCCCAGACAACATGTTACAACCCACGGAATGTAAGAGCAAGCGGAAAACTCAGCCATCTTCTGTTGTTTCAGATATTAAAGGGATTTGCAAAAATAGAACAATGCCACTTGGCTTACTCATAGTCTTATTTTGGGAAAATCTCAGTTTTTATAAAAATTATATTTATGTTAACATGAAGAGGGTTTACTGTTATTTTTAAATGAGTGAATAAATAAATATTTTTAACCTCCCAGTTTTAATTTCTGATATGGTAAATATTAATAGATATGACCCGTATAAATAAAACTCTTTGGGGTTCTCAGTAATTTGGGAAATGTAAAGGGGTCCTGAGACCCAAAGGTTCGAGAAACACTGATTCCAAAGTCAAGTTTGCTCTCCCCAGAATGTGGAGAAAGGGAAGGAAGCGATGGGAGAGAGCGGGGAGACGGCGGGAAGGGCAGAGAAAGTGGGTTCCCAGGTGACGCAGAGCCCTGGAGAGCTGCATGGAGTGGAAGGGAGGTTCTGTCCTCGTGCTGGGGGCTGGGGACCCACACTCCTGTCCTCTGCATTCCCACCTCCAAATGGCCCCGGGACACCCTGCTGAGAGCTGTGACTAGTGGGGCAGAGCACAGCCGAGGGGACACTCTTGCCCTCAAGGGAGGCCAGGCAGCCTCTGAGGAACGGGCGGATACCGGGGAAGGAAAACCCTTCCAGGATGGGAAGAGGAAGGGAAAGCTGCTCCTAAGACGGGGTCTGGGCGGAAAGGTGAGCCTTGCAGGGTGAAGGGGTCAGACCTGTGCCCTGCTCTGCCCCTCTCGGGGTGGAATCCAGACAGGAGTGTGTGGCAACATGCAGGAGTACTGGGGGGCGCCGGGGCTGGAGAGGCTGGTGGCCACCATTGTGGGCACAGCAGGGGGACGCTCCTACTGTGGCCTTCCCCGAAGTCCAGCACACAGGCCTGGGGGAGCGCGCATGAGGGGCTTGCACTGGGTGCTGGGGTGGCGGGGAGTCCGCATCCCTGCAGTCCTCAGACCACGCTCCCACAGGACGGCCTGAGATGTGGGGCATCCAGGGACTGCAGAGACTGTTGATGGAGAGGCCG